CTGGCTGTTTCCTGTCTTTGCTATGCTGCCATTCCTACATTAAGTCCATCTGTAAAACACTCTAAATTCCATGACAGTCTACACTTCCATGTCTATCTACTGAACATGAAGGTCATTCCATATTCATTCCTGCTAGGTTAATGGACCTTACCAAGCAGTTAACAAGGAAGATGAGTCATTGTGTGTGTGTGTGTGTGTGTGTGTGTGTGTGTGTGTGTGTGTGTGTGTGTGTGTATGTTAATGGAGGTACTAAGCACAGTTTGTCCATATTTTCCAGCATCCTTTCCTATCATGGTACCTGGTCCAAAATCTTCCAAGTCTAAGAACTGTTGGAAGAGAAATTTGTGAATTTGGGGAGGGAGGAACATGATACCAGGAGGATGGAGGACCCACACCAACTTATGTTTAGATGCTAGAGACAATAGGCTGCAGGGTTTTCACATACATGCACATAACACAAGGTTGGCCAAGTTGACCAGAATGTCTAAGCCTGGCTGAATCAACCAGATGGCCAGGTTTAGTCAGGTTATCTAAACTGTAGTCAGTTCAACCCAACTAGAAAACTAGTATTAACTAGAACTAGCCCTCCTGCCTGGCCTAGTCAACCAGATAGACTGGCTGAGGTGACCAGATGTCTAGGGTAGACAAGGTTGACTAGTCCCCCCCCCCCATCCCCAAGCCATGAAGAAGCACAGAGGCATGGGAAGCCCAGCACATTACCTGGGGACAGGATCACCAGCACCACAGAAGCATGAAAATGGGAAAGAATGTGAGTTAGAAACAGAAGCCCAGGGAAGGGCTCAGGAACAGACCTCAAATGCCAACAGATCCCCCACCCAAATGCTAGCAAACCAGCAAGAAAAACACACCACAAACACAAGAAGCAATTTCTCAACACCCCTCTGGGATGCCAGCTACTCCTCAGTAGTCCCAAGCCTCCCACAAAACATCTAACACCATCCACCACCAGAAACCCTGAAGTGGCATTGTTGCAGTTTGACCAAAGACCCACTAGTAGGATTTAATGACCAAACTTTTGGTGTCACAAAGAATTGAATGAGGCACACTAACAGCAAAGGAGCAAAGAACAACTCATTAAGCAAAAGCAACAGGTAACAGTGCATTCCTAAGGGATAGGAACAGACTAGAGCTAAAAGGGGGCTCAGTTCAAACAAAACTGGGACTATATAATATATGACTATATATTTGGAAAAAGTCTGAAGGTGGATGCTGTTCTCGCAAATCTTGCAAAATCATTTTGATTAACATTTCTGGGGTTAAATGTACTTTCTGGGGAATGAAGCAACGCTTTGGGTTATTGCATATGTTCTTGCCTGCCATCCCATAATTTTAATTGTGTGCATGAGATACTGTCCATATGTATTGGCCTTAACCAGCTCCTTTTGCATGGATAGATTATACAGCGTTCAAGGAGGTCTCTTGTGCTCATGTGCCAGACCTGGAGTATTTCACTTGAGGAATATAAGGGCTTTCTTAGGTACTTACAGGTCCCCCCCGCCCGCCATCCTGTTTTCAGTAGAGAATGTTGCTTCCTTGGAGGACGATGAATGTTTCTGTTTCATGACTTCTTTCCTGTTCTCATGGCTTCCAGTCCACTGAGATTCACCTTCCATGCTCCACCCTATCTTCCTGTCTCAGCATCAAAACATCTAACACCATTGTGTCCATCCCATCCAGTCCTTTCTGAGAAAATGGCACCTCCATATGATATTCCCAGGTCATAGTGGCCTGACCCATGCAAGCACACTGCCACTGACGGCCAGAGAGCCACTTGTAGTGGGAGAAGAAAGGATGGGACACCTTCCCTGGCCTGTGCCAGGCAGAACACACACTCATATACACACAACACCTCCCCCCTACAGTTGGACAACTCTCCAGCCCACCACCCCTCCCACAGCTCAGATGTGGGAAGGACAGAACACAGTAGGCTAAGAGGGACACTAGTCCCACCCAGCCCATCCATAAGGGGCAAGAGAGGGAACTCTTCCTATATGCAATAGCAAGTCACAAGGGCAGCTACTACACACTGAGAGGCAGTGGACTAGGAAATCCAATAGCCTGGGGCACTCCTCAGGTCATTAGAGAAGGTTTTCCACTGAAGCATTATCATCCCCACCAATCATCAACCCATCAGGCTCCCCAGAGAGAGTTCAGAGGGACAGAGGGACACCTGGGTTAGAAGGGCCTATAATATGGGCAGGGGAATTCTTCATGGTCAGAATCAGAGCTTCTCCACTCTGACCTCTAGAAGCAAAGGCCCCCATAAAGGTACCTTAGAAGGAAGATGGCAGGACAGTAGTCGCTCAGGGCCCCCCCACACTTGCTCACACATCACTGTGCACTGTTGGGAGCCAGCCTTGGAGGCCCACCTGATTGACAGGGTCCTGGTGGGCCGAAGACCCTGGGCTGCAGGGTGAGCCCGGGAAGATGAAGCCCTTCTGTCTTCTACCTTTGCTGTTTGGTATCGCCGAAGAATTCTGTGCAGTCGTGGAAGAAGAAAATGGCATGTTTTTGCGAAGTACTCACAGCTAACCTGGAAATGTCATGGTTCACTTTTCCATTTTCCCACTATGTCGCTTTCTAACATATGCAAGGGTTAACATATGCAAGGGTTAAACTCTGAAGCACATCAAGAATGCTTTCTTTCACTTGGTTATAAGTTACTAGATATTGCTTGAGTAAAAAATGATATAAGCATATTCACTCCTTATTTGATTTAGAATTATGCAGTTTAGTGTTTAGACATAAGGTTTTTTAGAAACACAAGTTTATAGCAAGTTCATTATGAATTCATTATAAGTTCTAACACTTATCTAGGAGTTATGTAGGTGACTTATAACACTGTTTTCACTGACTTAGGATAAAGATTAATCATTAAGGTTTTTACTTAATTCAATAGTTAAAACTCTAAGTTAACATTTATAGAGTGAGTTTTCCCTGAACTCATAATATACTAATCAGACACTTTTATGATAAATTAGCTAAAGACAGAAAACAACCTTGGGGGCCTGGGAAACATTACTAAAAGCTTCTTTTGAGTTCTCTTTAGAAATAAACACTGCAGGATAAGAGAAAAGTAATGAAGACACCTGGACAAGAAAGGCGATTACAAAGTTCTGAAGGTCATAGAAACCCCAGAAGGAGAATTACTGCTACATGAAGAACTTTGCACTTGGAAACTTTCTGGAGACAGTTCAAGGACTGTAATTCGGGACTTTGGACTAAAAGTATCATCTTTGGCTTTATGAATAAGACTCGTCTGAATGTTTATAGGGATCTTAGTTTGTTTGTTGCTAAGACCACTAGATGGTGGTAACTTTTAGAGGATATGTACGTGAAGGAATTTTCTTTGTCTTGCCCCTTTACAAATGGTATAAAAGCTTTCCCTTAGCTAACATTAAACGTCATCTGTTCAAGAAGCAGGTGTCCGGGTATAATATTTTCGTCTTTCGCCTATCCGTCTCTCCTTCAGGAAACCTCACGACCCTTGTGGGGCTGGACCCCCGCAGTGCACACCCCAGGCAAGGGAACACAAGGCATGTGCTTACTGCTAAGGTCCCACAGTGTAACATGACACAATCAGGCAGCACACACAACCCCAGGGGTGCACTTCACATTCTGCCTAAATCCCACAAAACTTCTTAAGACCCACTCAGACACTGCAGGGGGATTAGAGGGTATACTATGAAAGGGAATGACACTACCACTCAGACTCACACAACAGGGTGGGGTCCCCCACTATGGTAAACAGGGGTTGCCCACAGGGCAATAGCCACAAGAGACAACAGAGGGGGTTTTCTTTTGTGTCAGAAAAACCCCAACCCTGATGATGCCAAGAGGTGGGGTAGGGGAGCATAGTCAAGCCAGATTCCACACTCCTGCCTTTCACACACAGGACACAGGTGAAGTGTAGAGACAAGGGACCCCACAGGTAGAAGAGAAGAGCACTCCTATTCACCGTGAATGTCCATCTCTCACCCAGAGTGGCTTAGGTTTGGCCCGGGAAAGTAGGAAATCAATGTATCAATCACATGGGGAAGCAGCAGGCCATGGGGGTGGGGGTGAGCCTGGTAAGGACAGCAATCAGAGGAAACTCCTCTTTCAGCCTCACCAACCTCACCTTCTCATGGGAGGGCAATGGACAACCCCAGAAGAATGCCTGAAACACAAAGTGGCATAGACTAACCAGGACAGGGTTGCCACGATGGCCCCTGTTGCCTGTGGTGGGAGGTACACACAGTGGTCAATAAGGCCATCCAACACTACTTTTCTCCACCACCCTTGGATGCCAAAAACTGCAGGTGGTACCTGCAAGTTGGGACAATCAGACACACAAGAGCTGGCACACAGGGAAGTCATACAGCTCAAGTGGATACAGGGTCAGGTGCTGGGGCATGGGTAGTCTAACACTGTATCCATGTCAAAAATCCAGCCTCTGTGATGACAGTGATGACAGTCACCAGGGAAACTGTGTGTCAGCACCAACCTGGGGGTTCAAAATATCAGATCGGGATTAAGAAAATAACATGCCAGGGAGCGAGGACAAACCACAGATAAGGCCTCCAGCCTGGAAACTGAAACAGCCATCAGACCCCAGCTGGCCCCATCACAATCAGGCATGGAACACCCAGGGACCATCTAGTCGACCCCAGGAGCCTGGTGCAAGAAGGGGACAGGGACACCTTCTGTGGCTACCCATGCTACCCAGGGGCTGGTGCATGTCTGCACATGGGGATTTGGAAAAATCTGTGACAGGAGTCCTGAGTGACCAGACGTGCAAGGGACTAGGGCCAGGCCAAGTATTACCTTGCTCTTCGTTACTTGCGCTCTCAGAAACCAGTCCCAGACTTCACACCAGGATTTGGGGGAAAAAACCCGGGTCCATGTCTACAGCCGCGGAGAACATCCCCAACTGCCTGTGCCGTCCATTCCCTGCGCCAGTCCAGCCTTGACAGCTGTGGTGTGGTTGACCCGCCCAGGCAGCCACACGCCCTGCCTGGGACTTAAAGCGCTGTGGCAGCTTCTACATGCCTGCCCGTCCAAATTGTGACTCACGCACCCTTTGCCGGCGCCCAGGCTCACCCCCCGTGACCATCTTGCTGAAGGCTGCAGGCCTCCGGGAACTCAGGTTCGGTCACAACAAAGACTGTCTCCTTCCTCCATGGCTGTGCCGGAACTCCAGCGGTCAAGAGAACTATACAAAAGTGGGCGCCAGATAAAGCACAACAATCAACGACAAGTGGCAACAACTGGTGAGAAACTCAGCAGGACAGATCTGGATGGCAGCGTGTCACCGGGGCCTTTTAGTCCATCATTTTGGATGGAGCCCAGATGTCTTTCTTAGGCATCCAGCACAGTCCCCCACCCCCACCCCAAAGCCATCAAGGAAAGGAAGGAGCCACCTGACCACAGAAATGGTTCCCCAAAGCTGTCTCTTTACAGAGCACAACAGAGTCTAAAGACAACCAATGGGCAGTGGGACATGGGTACAATATAGAGCTGTGGCCACAAGAAGAGCGACATCAGCACGACAGACCATCCTCATAGACCTGGGGAGGGGAAAATAATCACAGTCATTCTTTCAGAGGGGCTGGCACACACGTTCCACCCTTTTCTGTGATCCATTCAGATCACCCTATGGAGACGTTGGAACTTATGGACACTCAAAGTCCAGTTCCAGGAAAGACCCTCTTTCGGAGGACAAAACCACAGTGCAATGAAAGAAAAGATTGGCAAACCACCCAAACTGACAGGAATACATCAGGAGCCCTCCCCAATCGGCTGCATCACATAAAAGAGGGGAAAAAAATCCAATGACAACACAAACACAGGCCAAAAGAGATGGAGCAGGACTACGGAGGAGGAGGAAAAGGAGGAAGAGGAGGAGGAAGAGAAAGAAAAGGCTCCCACCCACAGGCACCCAGACGATTGTGGCAACCCTGCCCTGCTTGCTCGGAGTCATGTGTGTCAGGGTTCTCCTCCTGGGGTTGTCCGTTGCCCTTCTGTGAGGCAGGGTTAGTGAGGCTGAAGTAGGTTCCTCTGTTTGCTGTCCTCTTTAGGCTCACCCTGGAAGAGGAGGGGGAAAAGAAGGAGGAAGAAAAGTGAGAGCAGGAGGAGGAAAAGCAGGAAGAGCAGGTTGAATAGGAGGAAAAAGAGAAGGAATGGGAGGAGGAGGAATAGGAGTCTGATATGTTGCAGGGTGGCTCATCAGCCTATGAAGAGAGGGCAGCTGTGGATGGGACTACATGAGAACTGCTTCTCAGGGAGAGCTTGGGATGCCTCCCACCCTCAGAAGGATCACCGGACACTCCATGAGGAGAAGAGGTGCAGAACTCTGCAGACCTGGGGGGTTTGGACCCCACATCTCTCAGAGGTCGATTTGACCGGACCTGGCTCATGAAAGTCTACTTATTCTCAAGCCCATAGAAGACTCCACCTGAGAAGAGGGTCCCCAAGTCACCAGGGTCTCCTGGGGGCAGGCAGGGAAGTCACACTATCGCACCTACCCCCTCCCCCAACCTCCCAAATCCTCACTATCAAGACCACCACCACCATGGCAGCCAGGAGGAGCCCCACTGAAAACCTTGGGTCCTGTGGACCTGCATTGTGGGGGAAGGAGGATGTGGTCACCCTCAAGCCAAAGGTGATTTCCAAAGTGAGGAGAGAAAGAAATGGTTGGGGGTTGTCGTGGAAATGAAAATGGAAATTTAAAAACACATGGCAGAGAAAGAAGGAACAGGACTTAACACACAGGGAGACACAGAACGAGATTCTCCCAGAATCTTAGGCCAAAAGTGGAAATGAGAAGTCTGGGTCACAGTCGAGTTGAGGGAGAAGCAGACCCAAGAGTTTAGGGTGAGATTGTTTTTCATAAGATAAGGTCCATTGGACATTCAAATCAGAACATTGACTTAGTGATTCTCTAGAGAATTCTGGAGTGAGGTCCTATCTGGAGTGGACAGCATTCCATATGAACACCTTAGGCATGGATTCAATCATGTCAAAGGTGAAAAAAAAGAAGAAAATCAGAAAGAACCCAACACTAACTCACTAGTTACCTGACTCCATTAGGGGAAAGAGGACACCAACTCAAGACATGACACAGGCTGGGTGCGGTGGCTCAAGCCTGTAATCCCAGTATTTTGGGAGGTTGAGATGAGAGGATTGCCTGAGCCCAGGGGTTCCAGACCAGCCCGGACAACTTGGTGAGACCTCATCTCTACATATATCAAAAAATTAATCAGGCATGGTAGCGCACGCTACTTGGAAGACTGAGGCAGAAGGATTGCCTGAGCCCAGCGGGTCGATGCTGGGGTGGCCATGAGCATGCCACTGCATTCCAGCCTGGGCCACAGAGTGAGACTCTGATTTAAACACACACACACACACACACACACACAACATGACATGACACAGAAGTCCTAGGGGAACTGCTGCCTTGAAATGTGAGTGGTGCCTATTGGGGTGGACAGTCTCCAACACTCATGGGTTAGACTCTAGGACAGACCAGTGAATTCAAAATCCCTATGGGCTTTGGTTGTGTTTGGCTGTCTTTGGTCCTATTCTGAGTTTCAATTTTGGGGGGGGTCATTTGTTTGGGCCCTCTCCAGGAATGAAAACTTGGAAAATTACTACCTGGGATTCAAAGAGGCTTTTGAATCCAGTTGCTATTGGAAATCAGTGCACCGATAGGAGAAAAGAAATTTTTTGAACACTCTTATCTAAATAACAGATGAAAAGGTAACATAGAAAGAAAGTTGTCACCATGCCATAATTCATCTTAAGAATTCTCTTCTTTCTGGCCTGATATTTGTGTTTCATAATCAGAGCATTTGTTCTAGCTAAAATCTGGTTGTTAGGTCTGTGGGATAGGCTGGTGCTACAAGTAAAATGCAAAGAACTGCACAGAAATTAGATTAGGAAAAAATAGTTTATTTAGAAAGTAGATTAGCGAGAGAGAGAGGTGATTCACCTCCCCAAGATTAGGGAAAGCACCACAACTTAAAGAAAAACATGGCCCAGCCAGAGCTTAACAAAAGTATGGCTGCGGCTGCTTGAGGTTGAATGCTTTTAAGGCTTTCCTTTGGTGTGGGTAGGAGTCTCTCTCTCTCTCTCTCTCTCTCTCTCTCTCTCTCTCTGTTGTATTCCTCTGACTAGGGAAAAGGGTATGATGTGATGAGCTACTCTATCTAGGGAACAAAGGGAATACCCAAACCAATGGACTTAGAGACTCAGGCTCTCAGTCCACACTGAATTCTGTCAATATGCACGAGTGAGTTTGAAGCCAACCCTCCCCCAGTTATAGCTGAGATCACAGCCCCATCCTCATTGAGACTTTAAGGCAGAGGCACTCAGCTAAGCTATGCCCAGATTTTGGTCAACACACCTTGTGAGACAGCAAATACTTGTTGTTTAAGGTGTTGAGTTTTGGAGCACTGTTTTTAGAAAGGAGCAGCTTATCCCTCATCGCCTAGGCCCAGGCCGCTCCTTCCCTCTGCTTCTCTCCCTCAGGCTCCTGTAGCCACACTGGCCCCTTTTCCACCTCCTCTGCCAAACTCACTTTCAACTGCAAGTCTCTGTGCCAGGAGTGATTTCTGTCTCACAATGTAGGTTTCTCCTACACTTTTGTAGGGCTGGCTCCCTGTTGTCATCCTGGTCACCTCGATGAAGCATTTGGATTCTCCCAGGCAGTGACTTCATAACCCTCTCACCCCACATTCTACTTTATTTCGTCACAGCACTTGCATGTACTTTAGTGTTTTGTCCAGCTGTTCTCAGACTGTTGTCTTCTGGGGACAGGGTGCACTTGGTCATTTGCAGCATCACATGCTGGGACCACCAGGGCACCTGACACAGGGTGAGTGCTCAGGGAAGATTTACTGAGGGAATAAATGGGAGGAGTTCTAAACTCCATTTCTGTTTTTGACCACCTCATGATGTGGAGGTTATTGATCATAACAGGAGGCACAAGTTGGTTCTGAGGAAGGGAATAGCCAGAATGACTCAATACTGTTCCATCTGGTTCAGCAACGCTCAGTGGGTCACCAAAGACACAGGAGGTGCCACCCCATGGTGTCCAGCCCTAGCACTGCAGCTCCGGTAGGGTTGTCATGGAACAAAACAGGAAGCTTCATAGGTGGGTCCTCAGAACAGTGGCTGTCAAGAGTCCCAAGCAGACAAGCACTATCTTCTATTAATAGCTACAAGGCAGAGTGTGTGGAACTGCAGAATTCTCCCTTGTCCCTCCTTAGCCCTTACTTCCTGGGGTGTACAATTCATTCATGAGGCATCCTTCCCCCAACCAGAACGATAATTTCTTCCATTCCCAAATGAGGACCTCAAAGACCCAGTAAGGTCTTGTGACTGGACCTCAGATTCAGGGTCGAGTGGTTTGGGACATCCTGTCCTATATCAAATCCTCATCTACCCAAGACCTCAAACTTCTCTTCTCTGAAGGCCCTGCAGGGAGTGGGAGTGAAAAGCATGTTCCCAGGGTCTTAGCACACAGTGGATCACCAATAGAGAACTAAGGCCAAGAGACACTAATGAGTATATGAAACCCTGTGGTCACCCACTCCAAGCACTTCAATTTATACAGCAGGAAACTGAATCCTAATCTCCAATTTTTGTCTATACTAGGGCAGGTGGGATGATCCTAGTTCCAAGAGCCCACAGAGGTGAAAGACCTCAGTTCTGTCCTCTTTACACTGAGCTGGGGAGGGCCCCCAACCCAGGCAGAACTCTGAGAACTTGGAGGCTCCTCCAGCCCCTGCTATGGTCCTCTGTGCATGTACATAGAGAGCGAATGCCCCTGCCCCAAGACAGAGCTGCCTCCAACCGGTTTCTTTTCCCCCGCTTGTTACTTCCCAGTGCTTGCTCCTTCTCTGCTCCCACCTTCATCATCCCTACTTGAGAACTGTGATGTATGAGTGTGCATGCTCATGTTCCTGTGTGTATATGGAGAGAAAAATGGCCCCATGTAGAGAAGGAGGGAGCAGCCCCTGAGGACCATAGAACCTATCATTTTCAAAGCAAACCTGATGGGTGGGATAGAGCTGAGGACTACAAAGCCAAAGCCTTTTCTAATACGCTGGATTGTCTGGACCAGTTCCTGTCTCTTGGCCTCATTTTCCCAACAGTGCAATGAAGAGTTAGATGCATAACTGCATAAACGGGATCAGTGAGGGAAAGGTGCTGGGCTCCATGGACACTGAATGGGGTGCTGCCTGAGAAAGTTTGGGTATATATGGGTGCACAGGATTCCTGACATGGCTGATGTGAGCAGGCAGGTACATGGGGCATTCGTGGCTACTGCCCAGAGCAGAGGACAATGCATACTCCCGGGCCTGAGCCCACACTTGTGCTAGGCACCGAGGACTGCTCCTGAGGCCTGTCCAGTGTCCAGGCTCCCATCTCGAGCCTCCACTCCCTCTGTGCATTCCACATCCTCTGGGGCCCATGGACATCCCCAGTGCAGTCAAGTGGGGGCCAGGTGGGCCTGGAGAGTAAAAAATAACTTTTCTATTTCTCCTCTCCTATAGAGTGCATGATCAAAATTTAAACTAGACCATTATGTCATATTATGACTGCATCTGAGCATATTTATGCATGCAAAGCTATGGATATTTATTTTTCTGTGAACTATGTGATAACCTTTAGTCAAGTTGTCTGCTTTGTAGATGGTCTTTTTCTTATCAAATTTTAGGAGCTTTTTATATAGTCAGTATGTGATATAAATTGCAAATATTCGTTCTGTTTTTATAAATTTCTTCTCTTTTCATTATTATGTTTTGTTTTGTTTGAGGACAGTAATAATCTTTTGTTTGTTTGTTTTTTTGGGTTTTTGCTAGGCCTTATTAAGATGTCACTTCCCTCCCAATCATCCATAGATTCATGCAATTATAGTAAAGCCTTTCAGAAGACATTATGTGGAAATTGCCTAGCCAATTTCAGTTTTACAGAAAAAAATACAAAGTATCAAGAATAGTCAAGATGCCTTTGAAGAAGAAAAAAGTTGGAGGATTAGTGCCAGCTATTAATACTTAAGTTAAAACTGGAAATGAAGTTCTTTTGTGGTAGGTGTAAGGACGAACTCGAGGAGAACT